AGGGCGCAGGGATTAAGGCATCACTGTCTCACTCCTGATGCGGCGGCGCTCAGCAGGCGCCCTTTGGTTTTAAAAGTAATTCGGCCATAATGAATAATGCGCCGGCGGTTACGATCAACCGCTTTGCGATCGGAGTGCGCAGCTCTTAGAGGCGACCTTCCCTAACCCGTCTTTCCCCAGGGCAGCATCGCTGTAAGCCGCCTGGAGGAAACATCTTACTGCCTTCAGACTCCTATCGCAGATGACAGTACGAATTTGCCCTCAGACCGCCCCGTAACAGGATTATTCGTAGTACGGGGTCTCGCTGCTCTTGGTCTGACTGCTCCCCTTTGGCCTTCTTGTAGGATGAAGTTCCAGGCAGCGTAGCCCGTGGAATCATTACAGCACTAATGCCCAACAACCACGACAAGGTTACAGCTTTAGGTTGGGCTAACGTAAGGTGAAAGATCCAAATGTTCCCATAATTTTATTCCAAAGATTTGTTTGTTTTTCAAGGATTTGAAACCCGAGCATGATCTGTATCCATTAGCCAAACACAGCACAAATATACTGCCAACGTTACAAAGCATATGGCGACAGATTGAATGTTGCCTCCAGGATTTTAAAGGATAACTGGTCCTATAAGTCGCCCGACCTCTTAAGAGGAGGTCCGTCACAACTTTGTTAGGTCAGATAACAGGTGCGTTGGAACTACCATAAGTGCGGTATGAACAGGTGGTTATTACACATGCTTAACTCGACGATTTCAACCAGATGCAATTCTCAGTAAATAAAACTGCATAAAATATCCGATTCCTGCTCTCAGACCGTGTTGTATAAGCATTCATTCATAGTGAGACCTGCGTGGTCATCCAGTTTCCGCCCATCACCGAACAGTAAGCCTCCTCTTAGAAAATATCCTTTCGAGGAGAGTATTCCTGTTGCCCAAAGATGTCCAAAACCAAAGGGAAAATACCACCAAGTTCTCTAAATATATGCTTTTCTCCCCAAGGGAAAACAGTGTAATTACTGTCACTTATCAGCCAGCCAGGCTGTCGAGATGTTATTGGTAAAAGTGTGAAGATCTATCCGTTAGCAAGAACAAGCCTGAGGGAACATGAGCGAATATTTCAGCTGACAAAAAGATTCATTTGTGACTGGCTGGTGAAACGCGCTGCTCGTCTGTGGCCGTTCCCACACTTTGGCGGTGTAAATGAGTCGGCTGCCAGTTTAGCGCTCTTGTCTGACGTCTTCGGGAAAAAGCAAAACACAATTACTGTTGCAGTGTTACGTGGTGAGTTAAACCTTCCTGAACAAAGGTTGATCGCTCCACCTCTAGTCCCTATTACAAACGCCGAAATAGCATAGCGTTAATAATTTGGCCTGGCTACAACGCAGCGGCATTAGGAAATGGTTTGTAAGAACTCACTTCGTCGTACACTAGATCCTTCAGCGTGATAAGCATCCCTATCTCGACGTCCCATCGGGTCTCCTTGGCCGCACAGTGCTCTTGGCTGCAAGACCCTTGCAAGTGGAATGAAACTTTTTACGCCATAATGTTCCATTTTGTTGCGTATGTGCTCAAACCAAAACTCATCCTAATCTACAACCGTATTTTTGCAGCTCACCGAATTGCATTGTCCACTGAAGCAATCATACCTCTGGTGGAGTACCGGTACCCCGAGACGCCCAGATACGACTAACGTTTGTACGGGTATTCTGAACTCAACTGCCTGTCTGTTTTTATTCCATGAGGTACACGTAGTAGCTTTCGAAAATTCACTCCCATTGTATGAATACCGAGCGCCCGTCCCATCAGACAGGTTTGTTGGAGTTTGAAGTGACCGCCCGACGGGAACCCTTTTTGTCCTATCAGTTTTTGAAATTCAATCGGCTTCTGCCGAGACTGCCATGGTTGCAGCCTAGCGCGAAAGTTATGTAGCAATTTGGTGTCGTGGCCTCAACAAAGTGAGGCAAAATACTGACCATTCAAGCGCAAACAAATTGTACAACACCGGAAAAACTACACCAAACGAGGAAGTACAACCAGCCAATCAGACTCAAGATGTGATCGCGATACAAACCAAGAACGGACAAACCGAAGGAAAAACTACCAAAAGTAGAAATTGCCGTACCGAACATGCAAAGTTAGGGAAGAAGGACAACAACGTAACGCAAACCGTGAACGGACAAATCGGAGGGCGGACCTGTACTCCCAAAAGCGCTATCCAACAAATCAACGGAGTATGAGATACACACGTCACAAGACAGTACAAATCGCGAACGGGTCAAAAAGGTTACAAAAAGCGATCGGTCAGCCACATGGTCAGTCACCGAACTTCGAAATTAAACTCAGGCAGGTAAGGAGGAAACACTCGCTGAACTGCACATTGTTGATGTCTCATTAACTGGGGACAAAATGTCGATTAGCTGATTGCCAAGCTCGATGAACAAATCGATCGCAATCTAATCAGCCACCACTAGATTAATTGTAAATTGCATATTTTCGGTCTTGAACCAGTTGCCGAAAATGGGCTGTAGTCCTTACTCTGACAGCTTTTTGAAGATCTTGCCACACCGTGTACCAACATCTACCGCTCATGAGTAGTTAGTTATAGGCTCTTGTGGAGGCTCCGTCAAACGACCAGAAGTCTATCTCTTCACCATGTGTCTGCTGCAAAATGATGATGCCTGACAGTGTGGTTGGTAATTTAAGTATACTGCCTTTGTTCACCACGCCGTAAGCATATGCCTCAAATGCTTTGTATACTCCATCTCCCTGTGTGCTTTTTTATCTGGTTGTTGATTGTAGTTTCGCTTCACGTTGCACTTCACAAAAATAGAGCAGTAAAATTCACCCACATATAGTGTGTGCTTCAAGCAAACGTTTTGAGAGATCATCTGCGAAACTGATTGTAAGCGACTCTTACAGTCACATTCCATTAGACATACCATGCATTGATAAATTCGCTTCAAAGTGCCGTGTGTCACCAGAAGAGAGAGTTTGTATCCGTAACAGTAGAGGAAGTTCGAGCTGAACTTGTAATCATCTGGGTGATTAGAGAACGATGGCGCTGTATCCTGTCTGACTCTACTTCTAAGCAGACACTGGTCACCGGATGCTGGGTGGCCAAGCTACCAGGAAGGAAATCGCGTGTTTGAATCTCCCTGGATATTTGTGAGATATGTACTGGTGACTGGTCTTTACAAGGATGGCATTGCTATCTTCACTGCCTTTCAGCACTGGCTGGATCCACTTGCGCGATAAGATCTCCGTTTCGAAATTGAAACTACCTCAGTACCTGGGTATATTATTTCCGCCACTTATCCCGTGGGCAGTAGACATGATTGGCGCAAAGTTAACCCCACTTTTTGATGCATTCCAAGGAAGGATGACATTGCTATCTTCACTGCCTTTCAGCACTGGCTGGATCCACTCGTGCGATAAGATCTCTGTTTCGAATTTGAAACTACCTCAATACCTGGGTATATTATTTCCGCCACTTATTCCGTGGGCAGTAGACATGATTGGCTCAAAGTTAACCCCGCTTTTTGATGCATTTACCCGAAAGACTGTGGTCACCTCACACCGATATGTTCACATTAAAGAATTACGGCTGCATCGCACTTTCATGTGGCTTGTAACGAAAAGAGGAGGCAAACGTAACACACTACTCATACGGTTGGTGAAAGATCTTCGACAACACAACCTTATGAGGAGTGTCTTACGCGTCTAGGCAATATCTTGCGCTGTCTTGCGATATCTCAGACATGGTACCAACTGAAACGTGAGGTGGACTTGTGCAACACATTCAAATAAAAATGCCCGCCATGGGCGAGAGTTTCAGCTGAATTCAATTGAACCTTCCGTTTAAATTAAATCAATATGTCAATGGGAGTAGTTGGCAAAAAGACAGGGTAGTTACGGGGAATGGTTAATTTGAGGAGCATTCCCACGACCATCCAGACTGCGCCAGTTGCTGTTTCAGATAGAATCCATTGTCTAGCGGAGATGCAGCGAGGTTAATTTTTTACGGATTTCCTTTACTGATTCTCACTGGTATGTGAAAACATCTGGTACGAATCTGTGCTGTGGACTTGGCTAATGAAATTGGATTGGATGTGGCTCGCTTCCACGTCCACCTTACCATCACCATTAGATTAGACGTAATAAAGCCACACGTCTAGATGAGCACCATCGAACGATTGTCCATGAATCGGCTCATCGGAAGAGTAGATAAAATGGGAAAATCAGTGCACCCATAGTTTGTCAGCGCCCAGCTTCAGCAACCATGGGGATGATGTGGTCGTGGCAGATAAAAGCTGGATCAGTGAGACATACAATCGCAACGATGAACACATCGGCCTACAGCTTACACTTCGTCTTGTGCTGTGCGCGATAGACTTAACTCGATGTATGTATAGATATCGGGGAGTGGAGATATACTGGGAACAATCATACAGAAATATTCGTACAAGTTCATGCGCAATACGTGGTATCAAACATCGCGCCCAGAATAGTCCAGCTTTGGTTAGCTCATGCTAATGTTTTGGCCCGATGCTGGCACATCATTACAACCATTTTGTCTGAGATATATAAGAACTAGTCACCTAGTACTACTGATTTAGGTTTTCGTGTGCGCACGTCTGATTGCTCCAGTTTCATGCGGTCCAAGTAGGAAATGATTGAAATTTTTGGCTCAAAATTTTAACCACATGCACTACATCTATGCCTCATAAACTGCTTTCACATGTTATCTGAGCAAAGAATTTCACAGCCATTTTTTTCGAAATGATAACAAGCCAAGCATAGATCGGCGAGTCCATAATGCATCCCATCACTGCCGTTCGACATCATTCATGTCGGACAGTTGTGAGATCTACGCAACCTTACACCTCCTTCTTTCTAACTATTTGTCTTTCTTGATCGCCGCAGCTCAGCGTCCAACTCGCCTGACGTATGCGATGTGTGAGTTCCCGCTGCTTATTCGGGATTAGTAAAGACAAAACGCAAAACTCACCTCCAATTGAGCTAGCCAGTGCCATCACACTCACTCCTAGTATAGCTTCACTTATTTCCCAAACGATTCCAAGCGCTTCCAACAGATTCACCAATTCGTGAGCCAAAGTGTAGATCCAAATAATTGAGGTAGCGAATCCCAGTGTTGCAAAGAATGGTCGATGATAGAATCGAGGGGGTTGATTCCACGTGGATGTGAAGTAAACAGCGACGGCGATTGCTACACCACCCAGTGTGAAGGGTACAAATACGGGCACCTGACTACCCGCAATTGGGGAGATTCCGAACGATTTTCCGTTTGCTAAAAACAAACAGAATGTGTCGATGTGGTTATGGAATACTGTACTACGGAATGTGAAAAGTGGCTGCTGAGTTGTTCGTAGAGTAGCGCTCATTGGCACCTATAAATGTAGCACTAGAATGGAACCACGTCTAATCCTGGGTTGGGCACAATCAAGTTTTCGACTTTTCAGGTTTTTCACGTACACCAGCAACCAGTATTCATATTGGATGGCGAATTCTGTCAGGCTTAAATCAGTAGTTAAACTGATCACCTTATCCCATTGCCTTCAGTTGCCTCGATAAGATCCAATTTTATGAAGATTCCTCACATTCAGCTGAAGAATACTGTAGTTCTATCCCACAAATCACTGTACGACCCCAAGCTTTTCCGCAGTGAGTGCGATTCATATGTACACCTGCGTTTCCTGCGTCATGCAAGCCTTGAAGTTCCCGCATCGGGTAAGTGAACAGCATACGGCTAAACTTAGAACTTTTTCATGCTACTCATGAGTAGTAAAAGATACTCGACAAGTGATTGCTCGGCAGCTAGCAAGCGACAAACTACTACAGAAACCTAAAGCTTTACGCTCCCATGAATGTCATCAGCTTAAAAATAGAAACTACAACTTTGGCACTACAAACTTTGAAAATGATGCACTCGATCACATCACTCGCTATATTGGATTCTAGCGCTCCAACTATGCAACTGTCACGTGCGACACCCTATTTAAGGCATAGAACGTCAACGATTGGCTGATGACCCGCCGATTATTCAATGAATTCCTAGTCCTACCCTACTTTTCAGTAGATAGTATTTTCCCACATCAACCTCCCCCCAAAAGGATTAGCGCCCAAATAAAACCACTTCCGGAAGGTCCACCCCAGAACTAACGCTTCTTGTAGGAGCCACTCTAACAAACAAGGCTAGAAATGTTCACAAGGTGTTAATCTTCGTTCTCACAAGAACTAGGGGTTCGCGCCAGCACGGCAATTTTTATCTACGTGACATAAAAACATTGTGACCCATTTCTTTTGCAAATATGAGTTCCGTGACTTTGATTATGGGCAACCAAATGCCTCTATCCACAAAATGCTAACTTCTAAACCCCTAAGCTGCAGCACAACGGAATAAATCTGAAAAAGGTCTGTGATCCAGACTTTTGGCATTAGATTTTGGCAACTAGTGGGCCCGAAAATTTTTAATCATATGCGCATAACTAGAAAATGATACTATATATTACTCTTCGTGCACAAAAGCGTGTGGCTGAACACACACCCTCTGAATACCTACCTTCTTGAGTTTGACTACCTGGCGACAAACGCGGCACAAGGTTGCTGTCATACCGGTGATACTCACAGTGCACCAACCGACGCCCAAGTTAAGCCCTGGCTCACTGAACACTTTTGTCGACTAAAATAAGCGGGTGGATCCATTCTGAACGTCCTAGTTTGCTTGAGGTTTACCAGTGATGCAGCACTCATTCCCACTTCTTTTTACGCTGATACCAACTGCTTGAACACGTATATGACTTGTGCTTTGGATGAGGTAACCACAGTCAGCGAAGTCCCACTATCGTTTGGATAAATTTGTCATGCACCACATCAAGGCAATGTACCCTGGAGAAATTATCAGGAAGGTAAGATTCCTGAATGTAACCTCAGAACGCCCGGAACCTACTGCTCCACCAAAATCTCAACAGGAAAGTCGGCAAGCATCCAGGCTGGTCAATCACTCAATCGATTCAGCAAAAGCCAATGAGTCCTCATGCACGCCAAAGAAGCATGACCGAATGTGATCAGCGTTCAGGCATTTCATAGAGGCACGATCGATGTTGACGAGTGTTCAATAAAGCCTATCAGACAGCCTGGATCAATGTCAGAAAGTCCCCTCTCAATCGTGTGGAGCCGTTGTAACTTTTGCTCTCGCACTCGCATGCACTCACGCTGTCGCACTCACTCGTTCGGAATATAGCTGTTGTGTTCCCTTCCGTGAATCTTTTTTCAGGCACTGGGCACTGGAGCAGGTCGGCAGCAGATGCCACAGATTGGCGAATCATCAGATCTAACAGTAATGCAATGCTCAGGCATCTGAGAAACTGATTTTCATTTGTTCATGGAATCAAGAGATGTGCAACGCTGTAGTTGAGGTTGAACACGCTCAAATAGTTGAAGAATCTGGTAAAATCTAATGGATGTTTATCGCGAAATGACAAAAGTCATTCACTCTAAATTGCAGTCAACAAAACAATTCTTCATCCGGAAAACTTGTTCTTGTCGTTTTTCTATCGGAACTATAATTCATGGAAGCTCAAAACTACAAAATTACTGAGATACAGGGCGCTGAAGAACCCTCCAGGCATCAGCTATATATTTTTACTCGGTAATTTCGATATCTTCTAAAGAGTATGAATAACTTTAACCCTCTCTAGTTAGAAAGCTGAAATCTAGTAGACAGATGGGTTAGAATGGCAACCAAGCTTACTAATCTGGTCGTGTCTTTGGGCTGTTTTTGTATACTTGTTCTCTGAGGACCTGATCAAGGGGGGAGAACTGCGAGATTGATCCGTATTTATCAACAACGTTTCCCAATCTGTTGATGTGACTGATCTAACGTAGAAAATTACATAACACATAGATTTCATAACATGAATTCCATCGGTAAACTTGAAACCACACTTACTTGTGAGCAACAATGGCCATAAAGTAGGAACGATAATACACTGGGCAACGTTCAATGGTTTGCACCATCCATGCATCGCCTCCAAGTCCAATTCAAACGGTACATCTTCCACAGAATCACCTCCTTTTTCCGGATCGCTGTTAAGTGATTCAGATGAACAACGTGGCAGCGATGTGTTCGTTCCAGACTCCGATTCCTCTACTACTGCATCCATAGACCGGGTAACTTCCACTAGCTCACCTCTGTCTACCAGGATCTCAGCTTCGTCGGTGAGTTCCTCGAACACGGTCGGAATAGTGAGTCGAAATATGACAAAGATGGGAACTTTGAGTACTTGGGATATTTTACTGATTATTGATAGATTGGGCCATGAGTCAACATCAATCGGGATCATGTAGTAGGCAAAGTGATGCCATACACCCTTTGATGCCCACTGAATAAGCCAGCTGGCTTCGGAACTCAGGACTTCTTCTGTTTGGCTAGCCTCCGCAGTATCGTCCTGACCACCATCCACTTGTTCCGGTGTCGTCATGGACAGTGTTTCCTTTGGAACAAGATCAAGTGTGATTTTCTTTGCTGAGACTGCGTTTTTTTCAAACTTCCCTTCATCCAAAGAGAAGTCAGACGGAGATGGTGATGGACATCGAATGGGGGAAGTTACTATAGACGTCCTCCTAGACACCCTTTTTGAGCCTGGAAAAAAGTAGCAAAATTACCCATGAAACGCATAACCTTCGGTCGTTAATGCAAACTATCGGATACGAAATCTACCGGAGAAGAAAATGTAGGAACAATGCTGGATGATACTTTTGGGACATCCTTATCAAAACACTCGGCTGGAGACTCCCGTGGCTTTTAATGAATGAATTCATCCCCTCTGTGATTACTTATTCGAAAACGACCGAAAGCTAGGGTGAGGCTTGGAAGGCTAAGCAAGTCACACCAATCGACAAAGATTTAGGTAAACAAAAGCAAAAACTGGTGATTGCCATGGCAATCGTTTCAGTATTTAGTACTAAAAGGAGACATTGTTCAGTAGTCCATCAAAATCGTTTGTATTAGATCCGTGCAATGGCAAACGCCTTTTGAGGTAAGTTTGCTTCTAAATTAATTTCCTTTGTGATATTGTATTCATAAACTTCGAAATACTGTAAGTTTACTTTGAGATCGCATTTTACCCTCAATAGAATAAATCAGCTTATGAGAAGATGAAAAACTTACAACTCTCCTTATTCTTTACAAAAATGAAGCAGTCTCTATCTTAAGTAGAGTGCACATCCTGACAAAAAAGAAGAGCCTTCTGGATTTAGGAAGATGAAGTTCCTTTTGGGATGCCAAAAATACGGGAATTTTCTGAAAGCTCAAAAATGATGGTGGATTCTAAAGTATCGAAATAAACAACGAATAACCGGGTCATGAAATAGCGTGTCTTTTTGACCGTCAGATGTAAGATGTTGTGTTCATGGGCACAGTAAATTCCTCCTGCATTCCAATTAAGTAGTGCGGATGGTAGCGAAGTGAAGTTGGTGGCTGTAAGAAATGATGCTAGTTGGGAAAAACGGGACCTTTACATGAGTCAAATGGAGATTGGAATAGGTACTGCGATTGTATTTTTATCACCTTTGTCTCATCGTTGAGACCAATTTCCAACAGACTGTCTGGCTATTCGAGCCACTTGTTAGCCTCAGATCACATCTAGAAATTCCCCCGACAGTGCCACCGCAAAACCCTCCCTTCTCGTAACCTCTGTCCTCCTACATACCTGACATTGGAGGACAAAGGACCTGTTTGTGGAAAAACAGGGAAAAAAGAGGCCGTCCAATCCGGTATCCGAAACAGGTCTCCCACACAGTTCTCTGAGTCAGCAACCTTCCTCCGGTTACACCGCCTGCAGTTCCGTTTAACTTCTTGCATGCGCCTTTGCTGAAAACTATACATTTTTACTAGCTGTAGAATGTAAATTGCTCCCTAGGTTCAAAGCCAGTTCACCAGCTTGTTCTTAAAACAGTTCGCCCATCACACGAAAAATCGCTCTGCGGGCATCAGTAAACCGATAACAGATCTTTTCTTCAAGAAGAGGACGCACACATTTTCTTGAGACAACCGTTTCACTTTAGACGATTGGAATCTCAATCTACCGTTGTGAAATCAGCATTTTGTCTTGTGAGAGTTACAGTATTTAGCATCGACTTATACATACGTAGATATTCTGCTCGCTGCTGTTGCGGTCCCTTCTTCCACGCAGGCGCAACACTTTTCCCACTAGTAAAGCTTTCCTATTGGATGCATCAGGAAAGACACCGTACGACGGAGTTACACAGTGAACAACTAAAGAGTGAGGTTATGACACTCATCCACTTGGTGTAACTTCTGTAACTTTAGCATCCCTAAGAAACTGACACTAAGCCAGTTGAGTACACTCGTTTGCAAACTAATTTGGTTTTGCGAGAGACTCACCTGGAACCCAGCTGAATCTCTCAGTTTTGATGTTTCCAAGCACTAGGCCTGGCACTAAACCGGTTTATTTGATAGACTTTATTTGTGAGTGTTCCGTAGAACAAAGAGAATTCAACCTAGTAACAAAGTTACACTACTATGTGTTACTTAGGTGATGCTTTTTAGGCAACAGAAGAATGTAGATCAACAAAAATGCCCTCCGTCACACAGGTTGATGACCACATAAGATGAGAACAGTTTCTGCTGCAGCTTCACTGGGTAAAGGATTTCCATGGTGGAAGGTAGAGTTGGATCCTTGACCGTGTTGTAGAACGGATTTTAGCATGTATGTAGAGCATGCGAATGGTTACGACAGCCATATTCCCTCACATCTGGGAGCACAAAGGCCATCATCCTGAAGATTTAATTGCTGTCATTTATCTTAAAAATTGTGCCCGTTAATCCGGTCTGTTATCCCAAACACAGTTTGCATCGCGCATTCCTTGAGTTGATTCACCAGTCAGCCAATATCTGTATGGTATTTCTTCATGATTCGACAATTACGTTGAAGCAGATTTTGTGTCTTCACCACAAGGCCGGCTGACCTTTCCGTCGATTTGTGTTTTGCTTGTCTACCCTAAAGCGTGCCCGTATCGCAAAGCACGACGTTACCGCTGTAAGAATTCTGTCTCAACAATGCAGCACGTCAAAATATCTTTCATCAAAATGATTATCTGAGCTTTTCATTTGGGGTTCCTCTTTTTCTAGCTTGAATCTATAAGGCTTCGACGTCCATGAATCCTAATCGTAGTGGTTGTGTTTGCAACACAATTCTATCGGTTGATGTAAAGCATCGCGTCTGAGAGAGGTCTGAAATGTCAGGCTGTCTCAACACGGGTCGAGATCAGACTTCCAGTCAACCCAGAATCGATTATGCCAAACTAGGCTTTTCCATCTCTTTTTGTGGATATTTCGTCTTGTAAGTGAAGCAATCCATGCTCAAAAGCCGAGAAGCACTGTACAGCTGTTTCACCCTCATTGGAAATCATCACCAGTGCGCATCTCACGAAACTCCGCAGAGTCTTAAACCCGAGACCTCCTAGCTTATAGTTTGAACACTTAACCGTTTGGCCACGGCGGCTGATCAGCAGTGTGATTAACTCGCACTTAGACAGGATATAGCGCCGCTCATCCTTCACTCACGGGATCCACATCACGTGGTCACACGTGTTGACTGGCTCCTCGAGCAACGACTTCTCAGATGCAAGTTTCACTCAGAGGGGTGAATTTCATTCTTCCACTGAGCTGCTTATACATTGTTGGTAGTGTGAGGAGATTTAGGATTTTTGTGGAGATTTCGTCCTGTAAGTGAAGCCAATCTATGGTGAAAAGCCGACACTGTGCTGGTGATACATTGTGGGTAGTGTGAGGAGATTTAGGTTTTTTGTGGAGATTTCGTCCAGTAAGTGAAGCCAATCTATGGTGAAAAGCCGAGAAGCACTGTGCTCTCCATCCCTAATAAAGCTGTTCGGATGCAACGTAGCCTCACTGGAGATAAAATTCAGTGGTCAGAGATTCAGCTCGTCGTTGGTTAAAAACTAATACGGAATATAAGTCACATGATCGTATCACTTGACTACTTGGTCACATGAGCGCTCGCGCCTGTACAACGCTCGTTTACTTTTATTAAAATCAGCTCCACTTTGGTCACCATTTTACGTAATCATTAGCCTAAAAATAACACAACTAGACTGAGCCAATAGATGCCACGTGACTAAGGTTAGGTCGCCGCCCTGTCGTATCGCTTGAACCCTGTTTTTAGGGAACATCATTGTTAAGCTAAAAAAACCTCATCATCTATGTTCAGCATGTGGATGTGGTCCCCGAACGGACGACTTCCTCTAAGCCAAAGGTCAATTCTCGTTCTCTGAACTACAAGCCTTACCTTTTTTGGTGGTTTGAGTGAGTTTGCTTGACATCAAAGTTTACAGAACCAGCTTATTATACAAGCCATATGAATTAACCTCTTCTTGTATACGACGACCCCAAATAGAACTCCTGATATTCTGTAATCGATGTAGCTGGACTAGTCTTCAAGCCCAATCGCAGCTATAGTTATTTTCGACGTATCTAACACAACCGATGAACACAAGTCACTGAAGCATGGGCTACAAAACACAGTGGTACTTTACCATTCATTCATTAGTTCTGTTTGATTTAGGTAAATGTTCTTGTTTCTCAAACTGCAACGACCTGAATGATGGTGGACTTCTTATAAAGTTCTCAACAACGCTCGAACAAACACCAGGTCTAGAAACTAATATTCAAATGAAAGTACACATAAAGAAGAGTTCATTGTTAGCATTTAAATGAACCAACCACACTGATTATGGCTGAAGTCAACAGCATTCACGGTCCAAATGATTCATCAAATAAGCAGTTCCAACTGAGGGCAATTTCTAAAGAATATGTGTAAAAAATAGAAGTTACTTGCAATTGACTCTTCGCTTACCTTGACTAGATGGTACATCTAATGCGGATCCGGCGTAGCCTGAGCTCAGTCCTCCCTCTGCCTCCGACTGGTATCCTCTCGGCGGTCTCAGTTCACCTTTCAGGGTCAGGGGAGATAGGGAAACAATGCATATGACAGTGTTTGGTGGGACAAGAGGATTTTCTGTGATCCTGGAGTGACAAATAGTGAAGGGAGCTTTGGCTGTTGTGTTCGCAGAGCTTGATACTTTTATTGTAAACGTCTCGTTACCAAGCTATCGTAAGGTAACGGTGCATTGTAGCGTATCGGCGTGTATGCTGTGAGGATGAGAGCCACCTGCTCCCTGCCAACAGCCCGAAACACTGGACTCGTCACTGCTTCCCACACACTGTTGATGTTGCCCAAGTTAGTGGCGAAAAGTTTCCAACCAACTTGCGCAGCTCAGTGAACAAAGCAACAGCCATCCGTATAACCTGAGATACTGATATTGCCCTTGATAAGGAGAGGTGACGATCCTCTGAATAAGCCTCTTCCACATTCACACCACAAACTCATTATAGAAACTCGAAGAAGATCCGGAAATTACTTAACTTTGAAAAGCAAGTTAAATCCAAACATGTACGCAGCGAAATCAAAACTTCTGAATGACAGTAAATTATTTTTCAAGAAGTATCTTTGGCGAACCTTTCGCCTACAGACTTCCTACTCCAAACTGTGAACTGCATTTAAGTTAAACTCACGTGATATCTCACCATCGCTCATGTGGTCAGATATTTACCCCTTATTTTCACATGATGTCACTAACTTTAACGGACATATGTTGCCACTTCTTGGCTGAAGCTAATTTCATTTTGGTAGACTTTCTCTTTCGGCTACTAAGGCCAGTTCTCTGCGATCTTGTCAAAATAGGCCGAAAACGGATGAATTTTCACATAACAAGGCCCACCTTTCAACAGAGACCACCCTACCTATCCCCTAGACGCACGTTCTCCAACAAACATCAGAAAGTACTGTTTCCTTACATTCCTACAACAAATAATCACACTACTCATGGCAGTATATCTGACCATGTTTCCAAGAGCCTGATTAGTATCTCCTACCTCCAACAACCAGCTCCGAGGAATCAACCTGAGAACCCCTTCTTCGCCAAAGTTCTGGGATCCCTTAGCTCATTATAATAACTTTATCTACTTTAAACATACTAAGATCACCGGGTTTCTTTTTTTCAGTTTTAGCCACAAACACTTTTCTGGAACAAATTTAATTATTTTGAGGAATGACCCGAGAGAAAACAATCCTTAATGTAAAATATTCCACTTCATCAGCTTCTTGGCATTGTTTTCTTCTCGAATAATACGGGGGAATTTTCTTGGCTCCTAGATGACCGCCCAACCTCATAAGATGAAACGTCATTCTGATTATCTCTTTTCTATGGTGTCTTATCAATCGGTAAGCGGAGAGGCATTAAACAGCATATGCTTGAGTTCAGACCACAAAACAATGAATTATTCATGACTTCCTCTAGTTACCATAATAAGGATTCATCAGAGGCCTATCTTCCAACCTCTGTATGGGCCATGGTAGGTGCCTGGTCACAATCACACCAATCCCAAGCTGACCAGTCATCATTGATGTAACAAAAAAGTTAGCGTTGGGTTCACACACATGGGGTTCTTGCATATAATAAGTTAGTGGTTTAAGTTGCTAAAGGGTATAGTGTTGACAGTTTAGGTTATGAAGTTCAAAGAATTCAAAAAGAACCGATCACCAGACGGACAGATCAGATGGCTAGACAATCTGTGGAGCCAATGGATCACAGGTTTCCGGCATAAGTCAAAGAGATCAGCTTCAGTGGTCATCTGGACACCGACCAACCAGGAAACAAGCCAAACAACCAACCAATGGAACTGACCCTTCCCCGGCTAGCAGAACGCATACACAAGCGCAACTCGGCTCAGAGTCCAAGCTAACGAGTCGCTGAATCACAAAGCAAGATGGCATCTCCATACACTGATATCACCTCGAGGGGTGATGAAACACTTTCAAAATACTGTCAAGTCACCTTATCTATTGAGTGTTCCCATTAGTAATCAGTCAACCACCTATCTGTGGCTTTGATGGGTCCCAATGCCAATGGGGCTCATTAGGGTCAAACAAGCTGTTTACTGCTCTTTCGGTTATGGTTGGATAAAAATTCCCAGGAAAATCACATTTTAAGGCCTTTCTGAAACGTGGTAAACGCTTGTTCAAATCCAACCCACACACGGGGCGGTCAGTACTAGTACAACAGTAAACCTATAAACAGGAAGTACATAGAGACATCGCCCATGAACAGCCCCAGTTTATGGGCCGAATGTCAGAGTAAAGTGTGGTTACGTACACAGCCACCGTTTCACTTTCTGATGACACTTGACCTGGTTTACACGGTGGACTTGTCAGTATTCGCGGTTCCAATACAAATCGAAAGAAATGAGCTCGGAAAACAAAATGAATCAACACAGATTCAACAAGGTCCCAGTTCAGGCATTCAAATATTCATTGAAGTTGAACGTATGCCTTCATCTTACCTGATAACTTATGGCAACACTCAAAGTTGAGTGAGTATTTTTGGAGGGGGTGGGTGAAATTTCCCGTCACTAAGCCCTTCCAAGAGAAACTTCTCTCTGTTTAGGAGACACATTGGTTCCCCCTGAAATCGTTCTTTCTCGTTAGCAAACAGGTGATTTCCAGAATAAACAAAGTATCCTCTGACGGCTCATGAGAAGTAGGACGTTGTAATGATCATATTTATCTGGCTCAGGGGGGAGCACGCATGGATTAAACAACCCAAAGCTGGATTACCACATGCTAAAATTTTCTTAAAACAGTTCTACTTACTTGTTCCTAAATCCTTTTCTTCCAATTCTCGGTTAGCTGAAAGTAGGAGTGAAATCACATAAGCAGCATTTATAGAAACACAAGCTCCACAACATTTCACGCATCGCAGTAGCCTTATTCCAGGGGATTTTGACTCAACTAAGTTGTCCAGAGCCTTTCATGTGACATGAACTGTGCGACCAAAATGTTAGTGACCCTGTACTGGAGCACAGTGCCAACCTGTCACTTATAGGTGTACTTAAGTGTTTAAGCTCCAATTTGGAAGAAGGAAAAAATAATTTGGTTTGCGGAATCCTCCCATATCTTAGTAGAACTTTGTCCGGAAAGTTGAACATTGTGAATGTCCCATTACCTTCGGAAGGTACGTACGTCGACTGTTTTCTATGGACCTGGAATCGCTACATAGTATCTTTTAAACTTCTGGTACACGTTGAACTCACCTTGAAGGATGAACGTCAGATTCTGGATTAAAATCTAGCTAGCTAAAACGATGGGACCGGTATAATAACCAAAAAGATTGCCCGACGCTATTCGTCATCATAGACCAGTTAAAAATACGCTCGCGAATATTCCATTCCAGCGAGAATATTCCTGTCTATTCCCCACTGATTGCAGCTGACGTAAAGAAACCCACTGCACAGCCTGATGGATTCACTGTTTTAATCGTTTTAGGATTGGACTACTCTCAAAGAATCAGTAGTCTAGTTACGTAGGCTCACCGATTGAGAGAATCAAAATACCGCAACTTTGGGGGCGGGAAAAATAACACAATGATTTGTAGATCTCTCCCGTTATCACATGGCCGTTCGGCATACTGGCCTGCGTTGCAGTGACCAAGCAACCGTGTCATGTATTCTTCGGTGTTTCAAAATTCGTGCTAGTGTGTATCACAGAGAGTTCCGACAGTGAAACCTGAAGCACTAAGTTAATGACATGGGAATTCACATATTTTAAGTTCTATTCAAAATAGCATCCAAATATTAGGTTTGCTCGACTGCCACTGATCTAAACTCTTCAGTATCATATACCTTTGTATCTTGCGTGCATGAACTGTTTGCGTTCCGTTTGCCTCCTGACACGACCAACCGAAGAACACTAAACGCTTGTAGAGGCCCATTTTCGAAGGTCAGTCCGGAAAAATGTGATACGATATATCTTTTGCAGTGATACCTCGTTTACAGCTCAGCGATTATTCAAGAGATGTTAGACACTGACATTATATAGAAAAAACTGGGTAGTAAAGACTTATTAGTTTATATCACACAGGGGAACTAATTAGTTAGTGAAAATATCTCACTTGAGGTAGAAGAAGACGGTTGACGATTAAAAAGCACCCAGAGGAGTGAAAATTAAATCGTCATTCACTATTAAAGCAAACCAGCAGAAGTGCGATATCAGTGTTGTACGTGGTATAAGATAAGGCCTGTGTAAATTAAGAACGTCAACCTACTCGAACCCGATACAAACGAAGAGCAGGTCAAGGTGTCACGAGATTAATGCAGGATTAGGTGCTAAATGGTTCTGTGTAGACAAAAAAAGGTAAGTCGGTTGATTTCAACAGCTTTCGCGGTCGGAGACGTGTGCTCATATTTAGGAATAAAAACAGTAATAAAAAACAAGGAGGGATATACGAAGTGACAGATGATTAGCAAGGGGTTAGACACTACACTTCTTGGGCAGCGAGAATGAAACCGCTGTAGCCATTTTTGGATAGGCTTGGCACTTCGTACTCCAAAAGACCTAGTCACTTGACTTATGTCTCCGAATCCGTTGAACACTGAACACGTCGTAGGATCCTGCGTATATTAGTCGTGCATAGTATTTTAATTTTAATGTCTCCGTTCATTACTATTAGTCAACCGATTTGACCATATCCTGTGTTTTTGATCCCGCGTCACCTCTTCTCGCTGATTGTGTAGATCAATACCCTGGCTTCACGTGACATAAACTATCGAACTTTAACTTCCCAGTCACGTAATGTCAGTACCTAACATCACAGGAGTAACCGTCGAGTCAATGCCACTGCGCAGGAGACCTTACAGTACAACTATGGCCCTCGTCTGTATCCTAGACTCCTCCCAACATAAAGTAGGAAATCTCTGCGTTTCTCGGATATAAGTGGGCAAGAGAACAGCGCCTTCAGTTTGGACGGAGTTCCCCATTCATACCAATTTTGGATAGAGAGGGTGCGCCAGTTCCTCCAGGCAGACTGCAGTCAAAAGCACAGTCTTCAGAACGAGTCCTCCAGCAGTGCGAAAGAAGACACAAACCAGAAGTCGCACACAGACTTGGCTGGTAGTCCTGATAAATTTTCTTAGTACATTCTGTTTCATAAAAAATTCAGAACAATCAATCAGAAAAATTGGCACCAAGTTTGGACAGGAGATTGCAAAGGAGTTGAACAGGGATAAGAAACTTGGGAAGGCAAACTGCTGTGCCTGCGAAATCTTGTAAAAGTTTGAACAGAAAGAAGAAGTCATTTACAGGCGTCTCAAACACAAGATCACCACTGCATGTCCGTCGCTTTCTTCACTTGGCAAGACTGATCAAGGCAAACCTGACAACCTGAAACCAAAGGTTTGCGAAAAAGTAGTGTTGGAGTTTGCATTTCTTAGCATGCCATTTACTACGACCACTATGGACACGGTTGACACACACATTCTGCTCCCCGAAACTGCATGCAAACTATCTGCATACATCATGTTCCTACTCAGTGAAAAAGTTCACGGTAGCTGTTTGTACATGAGGAAAATGCTAATTGGACTGTCCGAATTACTGCTGAACAGAGAGAAGCAAGTTGCGTGATTCTACTCGTGATTTCTAGTGAGGTATTCTTTTCTCGTGGATCAAAGCCTTCCTTAGGAATGAGAATTTCTCGCCACTTGAATAACTAGGTAGTAACTACATACTTCAACTCGTAAGTTACCGAGCTTCCTGGTGTGGTGAAATCAGTCATGTGAAATCAAAATGAGCGGAACATTGTGATAGGTTCATCCATATTTGTTTTCCAACTTGATACCCATCCGGACAGAATCCAATCTCAGTTCGACCAGATATTCGCAACTTCTGGCAATTTTTAGCTTATTCATCCTTTTTTAGGCCAAGAATGCTGAGTAACCCAGAAGGTGTACTGTCTTCAAACCCAGACGCTTGAAATCCAAAGCATGAAATTTTAAACACAGGGGGTTGGCTTGGGCCGACAAATAGATGTGTTGCCTGTGTTGGTGATGTTGTAAAGTACAAAGTGTATTGGTGAAAACTTACAACACATGTGCGAACAATATAAACTTAATGTTTACTAGATTAGTCAGCTGATCGACAGCACGAAACACTCGTTATTCAAAAGAAACTTTCGTGCCGAAAGCGTCCCAGTCAGCAGCAGCAGCGGTACTGATACCAGAAGGGAACACTGGCGCTCCACTGCCGTACAACCGTATCCTCGGATCTATGAAGGGGACCAAATGCGTCGATGCTTCATCGTGTTAAAAGCAACATTTATACAGTTACCTTATTTGATACGTGGAGTAGCGGTATGCTGCTGAGAGTGTTGTCGCACATCTCCGTCGTATGTTCATCATGACATTTCAGTGTCTGATTCTTCCACCAGTAAAAATTGCTGTTCAAACCACTAAGGAGTCGCCATGACATTTCTGATCAACCCCCCTAGTTGCGCATTATTCAATTTAGAATACTCAAAATTACCTTCTCGCCACCAAGTTATCAGTTCGCGGCACCAGATCATATGCTGTTAGGTGCAACTCACCCAATTTTGACTGCCAGTATTTGAAATTCAAGGTAATAACCCATCTTTCTAACTTCCAAGTGTGGTGAAGAGCATTGTGGCTGTCAAATACTTCTTTTGCAGAATTTTTGGCTCAGAAACTTTATCTTGCATGTGTTTGTGATTCGGCTTAACGTTTTATCTGAAAGTGTTCGCCTAACCCCTGAACATTATACACCCGTTGCCATGAAGTGACCGCTAAACAAACCTGAGAACTTGTGCCAAGGCTTGGAGAATACGCCTATCTACATGTTTGGATCCTTGGTCATCACCACAATTCCAAACATCTATGAAGAAGTCTCCACTTATAAAAGAAAGTACTCACAAGGTTGCTGAAAACTCTCCGACAGCCCACGACCGGTTTCGCCTTTCTTGGGGCTTCACTTAACCCAATCACCGCGTGTTTGGTACACATCCTTTTTCACACACAGTATGTAATTAGACTTTCGTCACCTCGAAGTTTACGTGAATGCTTCATTCAACTGCGTGTTTGGAAGCAAATCCGTCCTAAAAGCCATCTGATATTGGCTACAGTCATTGGCGCAGTCATTTTTACTGATTAGCTGGATAGGGTCGGTTGAGTGCTGATGTGAATCTCGCTTAGGTTCAATATTTCGTGAGATGTGCACTGCTGATGATTCCCAATGCTTCTCGGCTTTTCACCATAGATAGGCTCCATCTACTGGACAGAAGCTCTATTAAAAACTCCCACCCATACCCACTAATTTCGTCCTATTCTATCTCATAAGTTATGCTTACTTGATTGCGCTATTTCTCCTGTCATATGCCCACTCACTTCAAGTGAGTGCACTGACACCTACATAGACAGAGAAAACCAGAGTTTACCCCCCCCCTCAAATAACTGCCGAATTACTGAATCATCTGAGTAGAGCCCTGACACAAATCTAAGCCATGCGACTACGAAAAAAACGGAACCAAGCCCATGGTGAGCACAGATTACTCAGTAGATCTCAGCCAAGCGTTCAAAGTAATCCTAAGCAATCCAAACCCCATGCAGCTAGCTATTAGCGGAACTCTCGTAGTCCAGTTTATTCAGCAAAATTTATGTGCCAAATGGGTGTCCAACTTAGACTTGACTTTTCTCTAACATCCGTCCGTACTTCTTTACTTCTTTACTTACATGGTGACTATTCAACTCTATGATTCGTGGCTGCTGACAAAAGTAAACAAAATGTTAACTTCTCACCGGCTATATATCGAATTCAATTACCTTAGTGCGAGTGATAACTGAGAGGTTCGAGGAACACTAGGCAGATTTTCTGGCTCTGCGCATACCATAGCCCTGTTTATATTTTGCATATGTATAGTGGCCTGTAATGTTGTAATCATTACCGTCGAATTGTGCTAGAGAGTAGTTGGTCAAAACGGCTTCAGCAGTGAGCAATATTTACCAATAATCCATCGCACTAGATAGGGAAGTTCGTAACCGACTGTACTCATTCGAGCGCTTGCACGTCTTCTATTTACCGAATAAGACCGTCCGCATCGATCTCGAGTCAGAACGCCAGGTCCTGGTGTGCTGGTAGATAGACGGCGTGGATTGCAGTTCTCGTTAGATGTACCGACCGAGGAGGCACGTTTCCTATGGTGTTCTCCAGGTTGAATTAAATTCATTGGAATCATGTTCTCCGCGGGCTGCATTGGAGAAGCTCTACTCTGGTCCGCGGTGATATCTGCCGAAGGTGTATAAGGGGAACCAGGAGCGTCGAGTTGATAATCGGGATCTTCATGTGAAGTCACCTCAATTGTAGGTTTTTTAAGTGTTGGATAGGTGCGTTGTGAAATCGTATTCTTGCCCTGTTCTCCAACCCCTCCGTTAGCTGAAAATAAACATCAGATCATTAGCAATGGCTTCTAAAACGCGTCTGATAGTGTAGAGTATTGTACAATGGATTGAAACCGTAGCTACGTTGCTTTCATGCATCATGCCAGTGGCATGCCTTGCTTCCTCTTTGAAACCGTATAAATATAGATCCCAATTTCTTTGCATGTTGTAATTTGACGAAATTGGACTATATGGCAAGTAATTGATCAACAAATTATGTTATTAATACCCGCCCAGGACCAATGCACTGCGTCGTTCTTTTGGTTGAAGTGAAGGAACACGAGAAGTACGGCGGACATTTTCCATGGTACTGACACATTCCGAATTTGTTCATGATGTATTTTGCGCCTAACCGATTACCAGTACTTTTTATCGTCTTCCAGTCGTCTTCCAGTCGTTGGTCTCTAAGTTCGTCCATAGAGAACACAATTCTCAAGGTCGCCCGACAGACAACTTTGCGTTGACTAACGACAAACTCGACCTATCCCTTAACACCCCCTACATGCACTCCTCTGTCAATTTATGAGCAAAAACCGTACATAAATGGTTTTGCAGTACCAACATCCCTCATGTTCCGAATAGTACTTTATCCTAGCTACCTCTTCATTTAGTCAATCGCGGCGTTTTTACAAATTTGTGAGACAGAAACCTTACTTGCGTCTCTGTACTTCAAGTTGTGTAAAATAAACTTCGGGTGTGAAGTCAAAAACGAACGCATTTTTGGATACAATCTGTTGATCTGCTAACGGAACGCAGTCCTTCTATTTAGGCTGTCTCTATCTAGGGAATTCATAGCACAGAACTGTTTAACAGTCACAAACGACTGACAAGCTGAATGCGTTGCGGGAGAGAAATCTTCCGGTTGACGAACAGGAGATACCCTACTTCTATATTCTCATTTCTGTTAGACGGAAACGAAATGGCCACCGTCTTAATAGTTAATATTTAGTGTGTGCCAGTTGGACAAAGTGAAGTATGCTGCGTTCTATCCTCTTGAGGCAAACTAACACTCGACAGGCAAATTTCAGTTCCGGTTGTAAACAGAGCTCACATCAGGTGTACACCTACGCCGCAAGAGTAGGTTGGTTCATTTACTGGCTTCATACGAGGGGGGTAGTAGCTCCTATATTCATATGAATAAAACAAAAAAAAGCGGAAGCTTTCAACACCTCAAGCGTACGCCACACTTGAAAGTACGACTCACAGTATGCAAAATAACAGGTAAATGGTGAATGCAAGTCCATTTTACCTGGATGGCCTTCGAATCTGCCAAGTACTAGGTTAGAGTACCATACAAAGGAGGTGTCAGGATTTCCACATCTCCGCAAATCATACAATTGTAAGGGTTAGCCATTCAACGAGATACATAACTGTCTGGTGAAACGCGGCCATATAACCGTAGAATAACGTCAGTGACCGATCGTCGGGACCACATTTTCAACAGTCCTTCTATTTTTTTGTGATCAAACAGAGGTTTGTCGAAATCCTTCAAAGCGCAGATCCTTATTGATGGGAAAACTTAGTCCTCAAATAGGCTGGCGGATGGAGGTGGGTCCAAATGTTTAGCGAAACGAGTTCCAGAGAATCATAAAATTCCAGTTCGCAGGAGAGGGCTAAAAATATCAAACTGGATTTGACCTTACGACTTCAGTGACCTTCAAAATGCCATTTAAGCCGCTGACATCCTCTTCTCAAGCACAACCACGTGAATAGTAGAAGGGAGCCAGATGCGGCCAAACAATGACTTGGCAGCAAAGTATAAAAGCCATTTCCGGCAAACTCAGCTGCTCTGGTCACTGCCGTCTTTCTGGATGGGGACCCCGAGACGGGCCACATTAATGGTTAGGGACATTGTCAGACATGGCCCAGTCACGCCCTCAATGGCGCTCATGCATCCAAGCTATTACCTTCAATGCATATCTCCCTTACAAGTTCACCCACTTAACAGTCCACCTAGAGTGCTGTATTTAATCGCTAACTTATCTGCTCCCGCCTGCAATGCGCTGCTACCTACCCCCCTCCCCAAATCATTGGTGAACGAAACTGTGGCAGCTACAACCACTGTACGACAAGTACGCGGTTATTACGGCTGACAATGATGATGATGATGATCTCAAGCACAAAAGTATAAGCTGAAGCCTTCAGACGCTTATATAATTTGAGCCTCAATGAGGGCTTTTAAGAAATTCTTCTAATATATTTACTCGCTTTCTTGGGTGACCAGGATAGTAAGGGAAATCAAAAATAGATATCAAACCATTCTAAACCATCTTTTATCCGAGGGTGGCTGAAGAGAGCTTGTAGAATTGCCTACGACGTCATCAAAACATCTTGAAGTAGTGCTTTCAAAGGTGTCACTCACAAGATGGGAGAGCGCATATATCACGCAGGATAGTCGAAACTGTCTTTAAAGTTAACTTATGGGATACTTTTGGTGTCTGATAAAGTGGAGGGTATGGTCCTTAAGTAACCGTTATACAAATCCGATGACTATTACTGAATATATTCTGGATACTGAAAAATCGCAGATGGTGGACAAGTTAACATTTGCAGAGATAATAATTTCCCTCCAATGAACCCTATGGAAATAGGATGGGGTAATTTCCACCAGGATCCTAGTTTAGAAGCAGAATAGTTTGATAACTGATGAGCTGCGTGTTTCTTTCACTCCGGAAGTCGTTAGATTATTCTATTTGGATAGCCAAAAGCGGGAGACAGAGGGTGGAAAAATGGGCATTCTTTAGAAAATTGTGAGCCTTTGATACTTTTCAAGATGCACAGCCTTTCTGTAAGGGCACACCGCGGATAAGTTACAAGAGATAGTCCAAATAATAAAGATTGTGCACAACCGAGTTGGTATCTAATCGCTTTTCCGTTTTTCTCACAGCCCATCACGCTCCGTCGTAGTCAACAGCTAATCGGAGTCGTCATAATTTTGTACTCAGTGTGCTAGTAATGTTGTGTTGGTTCACTATTGTTACGCCGCCCGATCAATTCTTCGTTTCTGAAATCTTCTTTTTCTGAAAACGCAAAGCATACAGGCATTTGTGCACGATTCACCACTTTTCGTGAAACACAGCTAACCCGGTGAAGACAGCGTAAATATAGAGGATTCTCGACGTAATACACTACTCACAATGTTGCTGAAAACGAGCGATACAGCTGGTTTCCAGATGACTTTTCTGTCAGAACCAGATAGGTATGCAATGGGTGTGTTTTACTGACCAGAGTATTTTGTTTCTTACTGGCCTAGTTTCTATTCAGGAGCTTTTATAACATGTGTGGCTAACAAGGAATGGGTCGTAACATCCTTGCGTTAATAATGTCTATCCAGATGGACAACTTTTTTCGGGGGTGGGTAACTGTACCAACTCCACATAGCTTTACGCACGAAAATGCTGGCAAGATTTATAATTATTGGCTTGAGCTTCTACTTGACCTGAAACTCCCCGAAAAAACATTACTCCTGAATTGAAGAATCTTTCTAATACTACTGAACAGTATTTCACAAGGGTTAGCGTGTGTATTCATACCCAAAGAGCCGTTCATCACGAACGGCTGTCCTGCTGCTGCAGATTTTTCCACTGCCTGTGACCCAACGTCACTTTGTGTGCCTGGCGTTTCTCCTTTCTCTGGTTTTCTTTTCAGCTTACACAGCTCCTTCCGAAATCGTGTGTACATTGGACAGGCGCGGTTGAAACAAACTGCAAGAGGTTGTTTAATCTTCACCCACGTTCTGTTCACCCCGTCTAGTAGCCGTTGAATAGGTGTTGGCCAGAACGTACCGGAACCGTAGCGTTTTTCCGCTTCTTTTTGGCGACGGTGAATGGTGCCACCAGCCCACGTGACCAGCACGTAACAACAATAGAATACCAAAAAGCCTGAGAAAGGATCAAATTGAGGATTCAGAGTGTTTCACATAGATCATGAGGCTTTTGTTGCTGGAAACCACTGGCGTGCACAAACACACAAAAGAAACTTTTAATGGCGGAAAATTACGTACCTAAAAACTGGAATAGTGATAGGAGAAGTTATTTAAAAACATCGATGTTGTTTGGATTGAATATTATCAGCTGTTGTGAAATCCTCGTGTACCCTTCTATCTAGTCAGCACACCTAAGTGGATCATTTAGACCTGAATGCTGATTCTCTCAGACGATTGCTTTATAACACAAAAACTGGTAGTGTGCACAAATTTACCTAGATCCAGCGTCTTGTTTGAAAAATATCGCCCAAGTTGATGGAAAGACTGTTAGCCTCAGTTTGTTGCAATATGTAAGGTAAATTTCCTCGAACGGGTAATACCGTAAACATCAAGTCACTTATATTTCATCATCCAAAAACCAAACCCGAATCTCGACCTAAGTAGTTCTGAAAGTTAATAGTCTTGACTAGAGTGGCCGACTAGTACTTATTTATCTTGAGAGTGTTAAAACTTAGGCACCATAATTTGATAATTGATCGGTTCGGCCAAATGTTCCGCTTGGTCAAAATGCCTGTGAACGGCTGTCATACAGATGTGCCTCATGAACACGGGTCCCCGCATGAGAACTATAAAAATGCTATTTAGAGGTGAGTAGATTAGAGTAAGTAAAAGTTTGTGACAGTTTGCAGACAGATTGTGAGCTGAGCTTAACACCCACTATAAATAGATGATGTCACCTCAGTAAGGTGGTAAACCTGGATGACAAAATAGATTATTTTGAAAAAACTTATGAACGACCAATCAAAACACTGAACAATCCCTTCAAGAGGAATATATGCTTATTTAAGCAAGGCCTCTATTGTCTATTTCGTTATTTTATCCTTGAGCAGAGACTTTAGTGGTGCTAACTTGGATATTTTCTCGAAATAGCTGGCTGACGAGAACTGTATCACATGCTTCTAAACCAGGGGAGAGGTGGATCATCTGTTACATCTTCGAGGTGTTTGGTACTGTTGTGGACTACAGTCACTTAATGCTTTCTTATTACCGTGACCCCCGGTCTGAATAGCCGCCTGATCGCCTGGTGCGGTTGGCCAAACCAGAAAAAGTCAATGCCTGTGCGAACCGGCTGATCTATTGATCACTGTCGCGGGTCGAAAAGTGATACTAAGACTACAACTCATCTGGCAAGGGCGAGTGAAGAACAACCAATGAAATCGGTCTCAACGAAAACGTTTATTCCATTGGCTGTTATGTAGTCCCGTTACGTTCGGAGCTGGCTCTCCTAATAGGCACAGTCTGTGCACTCAGATTTTCCACCCTGCCTACAGTAAATCCCCAAAAATTACATCGTTTTCACACCGCTGTTACTGCCACATACTAAACGCAACCTACTCAACTTACTTGATGGTCGTCAGCCTCCTGTCATCTACCCTCGTAAAAATAAGTGTATTATGTGCCGTCAAAATACGCTCGGATAAGAACCACAAAGCATGATACTCTATCACGAAAACCAGCCAAGAACATTAATAACGGCGTAGAAATCGGTTAGTGTAAAATTACTGTTAGTTGCTTCATTCTCTCTGCAACCGTGGTGCTGCAAGACCACCCCCAGCCCGCTTGGTGGTCGTTTTTGGTGGGATCAAAAAGCTCAACAAATATGGCAGGAAATCAAATCAGCGGAGTTCCTGAAGTCAGCTGGTTGACGTGATATTCAACTGCTAAATCCCTCAAAGATGCCAGACATTCCTGGAGTAGCGCGCCGTTTGGAGGGAGATAATTCTCATTTTTATCTCCTCCGGTTTTTGGGAAGTCGGTTTTTGGTGGAGCATTTCAACGGAAAAACTTCCAAACCGCTAAAATCTTCCCTCGGATAGAAGTATTTTTTCACCTTTATGAGTTCTTCGTAAACTGAATAATGTACAACTAAAAGCCACATGACTGCCTGTCAGCTAACTGAGTTTCTTCGCCCTTAACCGACCCAGCCGGCTACCTGGCACAATTGGTTCATTCAAGTCACTTTGTGAGTCGATTCTAAAGTCGGACTTGTGATTGAAACAAATTTTTACGCTAGCTGAGTCAGACTTGCCATCAGAAAATATCAACCAGCTTTTTTCATCCTAATGCTTATGGCTTGGTTTTACTCTGAAACGATGCACTGGCAATCAGTGAAAGGTCGCGCGTAAGTAAAGGCTGGGCCCATTTTTTGCCTTAGCGCAAAGTAAAGAGGTAGTGTCCAGACTCCTGATCAGAAGTTTGATTTCAAACCCATGTAGCTAATCGCGATGAGCCCCAAGAAGAATAAAGTAGCAGCGCAGCCCAGTTCGAAATCTCAGTATTAGTTTACTTGAGGAATGAAGCCTTCGTATGAGATCTTGTCAAGACCTCAACATTACATTCGTATACTAACCCACATGCTTTCCATGAGTAATTTGACATTATGTGCCGAAATTAGCGCTAAACACTATGAAATTTCCTTGGTGTTTTTATTCAAAAAGGACAGTTCTAAGTCAAATCTAACCGATTGCATCCGCGTAGTAAAGTCGGCGTCGAATAAGTATCAGAGCGCTCCAGCTGACTGCTGACAAGTAGAAGAAGATATCTTTCAGAAAGGGTCGGCGGCTCATCTTGAATGGCGTACTGGCTATGACGAGTCCAGCTGTAACTGTATTGACCAGTAGACCAGAGCCTGTGGGATAAAATGAAATGCAGGTTCAGGAAAAGCTATCCCAACAACACAATCGAGTAAAGCAAGGACAAGTAAACAATTTCACCATAAACGATGTGTTTAGCGGTTCCCCTTTAGGCATATGAGATAAACACTCTATAGAAATGGAACAACATTAACTTTTGACCCGAAGTATCCTGAGCTAACTGTTCACGGGGAAGGTGTCAAGGAGATAAACAATTTTTGTGCAAAACCCTAACCCTTCCTCAGTAACAGCAAGGAGCAAAAACTTGGTAATTCGAACTTATTAGGTGAAAATTCAGTCACTAGTTTGCAGGATCAACACTCACTTATTAGAAAGAAATGAGCATAAATGATCAATTTGGAGAAAAGAGTTGTCAAAATGGTAATACTCACTTCAAGTTGACTTTAAACTTTAAAAACTAGCCCCGTTTCGTGTAGTTCAACTTGAGATGGAAAATATCACTATTCTCGTATCATTTCCACCCTATCATCCTCGAGCTAGCACATTTTGACTTACAAAGTTAACAGGTGATATTAGCGAAACACACTCATTAGCAAACAAATTTGGTAATGCAGGAGACTCATTTGGAACCCAGCTGAATTCCTCGTTCATGACTTATGTGCTGCACCGCTAGTGGTCGAACAGTTCAGTGTTCAAACTACTAACCTGGAGGTTGTGGGTTCGGGACTCTCTAGAGCTCTATGAGATGCGCACTGCTGATGATTCCCAAAAAGGGTGAAACAGCTGTACAGTGCTCTTCGACCCTTCGACATAGCTGGGCTTCAACTTACAGGGTGGATTTTACACTAGGACTGTATGTACCTAATAGCGTGCAAAATTTCCAGTACTTTCGACTTCTGAAACCACAAAACGCCAACCAAATCCGGATAAAATAAGAAAGATGTCGGTAACGACCAGTGGCTGGGCCCGTTGCTATTCCACCTTTAGACTTCACGTTATGTTCACACGAAGAAGCCAACCAACAGAATCAAGCAAAAAAACCTTTTGTTGCGTGTGCCTTAAGAAACGTCTACTAAACTTGTAGTAATAACTCATTACAGGAAATACCGAGACTTTGATGCACGTCAAACTGAATGATTCCTTGGATGTAATCTGAGGAAGATTTTACACCAAATACGCCCATGGTTCGAGTTACCAACTGGCTTCTCCAAGATTTCAATATCCTCACAAGATCAACCAAGATCAGCCAAACTTCATGAATATTGAGTCATCTTTTAACAACATTGAACTCTGAATTCGGTCTAACTGGGCACGCGTATTGCAGAACACTAAAGGCAACCCATCCAACACACTTGAAGAATGGAACACCTGTAAAAAAATTAAAGTTTTCTTATTGGGAATTCCGCAATTTTTCTTTCTAAAATTTGGTGATTTCTGAAAATTCTCAAAACATTTAACGAGTTTTATAAAACACGTTTTATTTCAGATCGCCCACTGTCGTTAAACGCCTCTCAACATGTGAATAAAGGATGAACTTCGAGGGATCAGCGCATTCACATCCTGGACTAACTGTTGAGAGATGATTTTTTTTATTTTTGTGGTTTTGATCAAGCAGACATTTAGCAAAAAATCAATCAAATGCATTCATGCACATCTGTAGAGCAATGGCAGTCGTGTCGCACAGCGTTCATGCTAGTACCCCTCAGTTGTTTAACTGCTGCGTTTTTCGTGCCCCGAGTGGACTATACAGCTTTCCTGAAAGTATGGTTTGCTTATATGAATGTGTTAAACGAAGAGAAGGCTCTTAGCACATCGCTTGTGGATGCATGATTGGTTGAATTCCGGACTCCAACGAATGTGCAAGATTCGAACTTGAAACCAATAATAGAATAATCAAGTCGGAACTCAACATTGGCCTCAGAAACAATTCCACCTGAATCTGGCCTGTTTGTTGGTCACTTCCGCGTGGAAACGAACTAACTAAGTCTCGATTATTACCCTAAGCAGCGTTTCCACCTGCACCTCTTATCACACGTTTACCAGTAAGCAAATGACCTTTGAAGCAGTTGTTTGAAGACAGAAGAAAAACCACCAGCAACTTCTGTCTAACAGACTGTCCCGAGAAATAAAGTGAACTAGGCGAGGGAAGAACTGGACGTTTTCAGATAGCTCAGTGATGATAGCCCGCTAACACAACTTGCCCGGTACTCTTTATGCTTTTCTTCGTACTCTAATGTACAGATGCAAGAAATAAGGCGATTTTTTTACCGAAGGTTTAAAACCACCGAGCTTAGCAAAGTGATTCCTGTTATGTTCTACCTGAACCCAAATTGGACTGATTTCGACGAATCCACTCATTCGCAACTCAATTTGGTTTTCACGAGAAACTCAATCAGATCTCTCGTCCATGACTTTTTTCAAATAAATGTGCCGCACAAAGGCCGCCTCAGGTTTCAGTTGGCACGATATTCGAGATATTGCAGTATATTTTCATGAAGGAAACTACTCACAAGGTTACTGAGAACTCTTCGACAGCCCACGACCGGTTTCGTCCCTATTGGAGCCGATCAGGTAGGCGCGGTCCCTTAGTTTCCATCTACCTTATGTTCTACTTGAACCCAAATTAAACTGTTTTCGAGAAATACACTCGTTTGGAAATCAATTTGGATTTCACGGGAGACTCAATTGAGCCTCAAGAAGGGCGAAACCGGTCGTGAGCTGTCGAAGCGTTTCCAGCAACCCTGTGAGTAGGTTCCTGTTATGTTGGCTAATTTCTCTTCCGCGTATTTATGAGCTTTAAGAAACCCCGTTCAACCCATGTAACCAACAAACTTCAAAAAGTGAACTTTACTTTTAACCTTAGAAAATGTGTAGTAATTTTCGGTTTTCATTTCAAATTGTTGTAGTCTGCCACATTTTTAGCACATACGAAGGTGAAATACTGGATGAGCCTGCAGTAAGCTGTGAGTGAGTAGTCGGCTACAAGGTGCGTGAATTTGAATTTTGTTCCTCCTATTTCTGGCAACAGAAAATGGGAAAAACATAGGACTGACAGGTGAAAATGAATTTAGTTGTACTTTTTTCGACTTCTTCCATATGGTTTGGATTGGTGTTTCTGTAACATAAAATTGTTCTATTCTGCTCATCTCATCAGTTTCTTCAGGTGGGTATCACCTCTCCACAAATCACCGTGAACCACAGAGAAAAATCCTTTCGAAACTCTAGATAAAATAATGAAAACGAGATGTGCGTGTTTAAAGTCGACTGAAACTAGGCATTTGTTGTCCAAGGAGCATTTATTGATCCTCAACAGACCATTCATTTTACTAAGTATAACAGCGAGAGTTTTTGGACTCTCGCTGGATTACACTTCCGAACTAAAGATTCACAGACCGTGGTTATTCTTGACACAGGATATTTGATCGAACGATCACTGATTTCAATACAATTTAGAGTGCATCAGATGTAACATGAAGTATTCAGTACGGTACTATTCAATAGGTAGACCAATCTGTGGAAAAGGGCTTGTTCACCTCCTTCATCCCAGTGATATAGCCTCCTTTGCAAGCATTTTACGCCAGAATAATCCGATGAAGCATGTGCAATCATTTATCAGAATATTAACCGACTCATATTTCACTCCATACAGGAAGTTTCACAACCTTTAAATTTTTGCAAGACTGTCAAAGACAAGCACATTCGATGTACACGCATCAGTAGACTTCGAAAGAATTTGTAATAGGTTAGAATGTAGCGATCTGACAACATCCTCACACTCACCTAGAAGGAATCCCAAGCCAAGTCCTTCGTCTGGAGCATCTGGATCTCCCGTAGTAATCGCTGTCACGGCGCTAAAGACGTCAGGAGCACCATTACCAAATGCAAGTAACGTTACACCCTGATGGCACAACGCAATAAGATAAGGATGCAAGCCACATGGACGCATGTAAATACAAGAGAGATCACTAACAGTCACAGTCGTGAGACAAACAACAAGGAAGATTCAAAAGAACTAGTGACCTCTGAAATTCCGCACCGGTGGAAGCAGGCTGAGAAAGGACGATTCCAAGACAGCAACAGTGTGCTGCAATAGGTTGCTTGAGTTACGTCAGCATAGTACTCCTCTGTTCGCGGGATTCCACAAGGGTGATCAGTTCTATCGACAGATTGGCCTTGAAGATGCGCACGTTTTTGAGGTAATAAGCCCTTCAGAAACCAACACGAATCACCATTTGATCCTCCAGTTAATCTGTTCCTCGAGAGGAAACGCGTAAGCAAAGAATGTCTACACCAATGGCCCGGACTTTTTTCAGCTTCAAGCCCATTATGCGTAAACAAAACTGTTAAATCTACTCGTTATAAAGATGAAATAATTCTTGAGCTGGGTGTGCACACAACACTGCTGCTTGTTTGGAATACCTTGCCGTTGCAAGAGTGCCCGAGGTTGGAGGCCAGGATGAAACGATTTATGTCTCCATACTTATGAGTTTTCTAGCAGTTAGCATCATCCTTACCAACTATAAGTAAAGCTTTTAGAAATGTCATTTTGTGTGAACCTTTTGTTTTAACTTATCCAGATGAAAAAGACGGCGGCTAGAGGACATTCCATAGGTTCATCGAGTTGAACCAGACTGAGGCGATTAATGATACACAAGAGCAATAAATAACCGAAATGTTCATCTCAGTTGAAAGGTGGATTTCATTCTATCCTAACGAAAACTCAGATCCAAGTGACCCGATCTGGAAAGCACGTGGCACTTACAACAATAGGAAGTATCTTGCAAACTCGAGAATGTGTCTCCCAAGCGGGACCGAAATACCATTGAAACCGACCACTCTGTTGAGATCTGCTTGACGGTTTCCGTCCTACTGCAATGTAGTCGATCGCTAACAATTAACTTGACCGAGGCTTTATTGATTATTCGCTAGAGACCTTGAGCTTGCCTAGCCTGGTCTGCGCGAATAAGTACATTTCACTTGACAATTTGCAAGACTTCTAAGCCATCCCTTTTTCGGACTGTGTTACATCTGTTGCAACGGAAGAGACTGTGTGAAATAATTTCATCTAGCAATCTTTCTTCCTTCCGCGTTATTCAAATAGTTAAGGGGGATAAAATGTTTTAAAGATAACCTTTTTCAGAACAGTAGAGGTCGACAAGTTTTCTTGTAGCGTCTATGAGGTAAGTGAGACTGGTTATTGCCATCATGCTTACGAAAAATTTCCAGCAAACACTTCACGGATTTCTTCCACAAGATGACTTTATTTCGCAGGTTTGAATTAAAACAATGTTATTCACAAGATGAGAGTAGTTCGTCCCCACAAGTATAACCTCCGCAGGATCGTTCTGAAGCGCACGCAGTCGTATTTTGGTGTACAAAACCACACCAATAAAAGCTTTGGGCATTCATGTAGTGGACGTGTGTGAATTTAGACTTCTTCCATTCTTTACTTGCAAACAGGGGACTAGAATGAAACAAGGGGCTACAATAAACTACAAAATCTACCTGCACCTGTTATCAAGATCTCCTCAACGTAGTTCCTATGCTTGACAAAATGTTTTTTCCCGCCGTCTATCCATAAAATTAGACGCAGACTTCTCAAACCGAACGCTTTGCATTTTGGGTGAGGCGTTGGAAAAATGTTACCAGGCCAATCTTTTCGTAAATTTCAGTTACTATTCGGTCGGAAAAAATGCTTGTCACTCATTTCTTGAAGTATTATTCATTTTGCACCAAAGAACACCCTCAATCACTCGATGATTACCCAGGCAATCTTGATAACGAGCATTTACGACACAAATGTGAAGGATTTTTTATTATGTATTATATGGCATTATGTAGGAAATTTAGATTTCCTTCAACCTTCTTGAAATATGAATCCTATTCCTAGGAGATCGCAGTGGCTGCCTTATAAACTTATCTGGGTAAAGAAATTCTAGCGTGTGCAAAAAAACTCATGTGCAGGTTAGTGTCAACAAGAGACTCAGTTGAATAACAGCTGGAAGGCTCGGTAACCATGTCATTCAAATGTACGTACTGTCCTGATGGACTGTCAAAGAGCGACTTCCACCCCAAAAATGATGCTTGGTGCCACGAAAACATGTATCGATATCCGGAATATCGTGCCGATGGGAAGATGAGGTAAACTCTGTGTCATTTTGGATGGAGAATGCCAGGGACGATTTTGCGGTTGACACCATCTTAATTTCAAAGTGCGTCTCTCGGCAACTTGATGTTCACCAGCAATCGCATATACTCCTCTCATCATCGACGGGATAAGGTCAGCGTTTAACACTAGTGTTTTGCCGCCGTACAACCACATCTTATTTAGAAGCTTCATCGTGAAGGAAAGAATAAGAGTGGATGGTTCTTAGAGACGGACTTCTATTCGTTCCGAATGCTCACACCTCTAGATATTCATCCAGTACGAATCGAAATTGTCAACAAGAACGTCACTGACATTGACCAATCCAACTAGACAAGTACCGACAGAAGGTAAAACAAAAGGCAAACAGTGCAACTACGAATATATATTGTTTTTACCCGTTTACTTTAAACTTCCATGATCACGCTGCGTCTGCACCACGCATTTGGAATTTACAAACCCACGTAGAAATAATGCAACATGTCAGACACGAAAATAATTCTTATCGGCATTCTTGAATTCATAGTTGTCATTGGTAAAAAGCTAGCATAAAAGACATTCACAAAGTGAAACTTTGTCAATTGTTCTGAAAGATGAGCTCTTCAAAGTGGCTGGGCACATCTAAAAACTCAGTTCGCTGGTAGATGTCTACATAACGGGGTTAGTTGTTTGGGGGACCACAGCTTGGTTTTGTCGATACAATAACTGATAACAGACACTATCTGTCTTTCATTGGTAAAAATTTACTTACGTTTCGCGTTTTTGATGTATTTTTAGATGGCGTGAAATATTTTGCTTTGTCTTAGAAAAATGTTCCTCACCATCTAGCTGAATGCCAAAAAAGATAACTTTCGTATCAAGTTGTTCGACTCTTATACCACAAAACTAGGTAAGTGGTCGCTAAGATGTTTTTTCATACCACAAAGAGCCTGGGTAATATGAAACAACGTATGCTAATTAGCTGTGTTAAAGTACGTTTGTAGCCTTCTGACGCAACGGCAATGGACCTTATTGTGATGCTTGCTTACTTCAGCAATCCAGTAAGCCTTACTAGAGGATGCTGTTGGGGAATCCGCGAAGCCTCTCCCACCGGGATGGTGAATAGTTAGAGGGCTAAAGAACACAATCACCTGACCTTCCAGGTTTTGGGTGGCAAACTGTTTCTTAAAAATCTGAGCTACTCGAGTAGTGTAGGCTTTGACTGATAACCTTAAATTAGGCCCCGAGGCAGTATCTCAGCTCAGACACAACCATGAACTTGACAGATATGTATGTATTATACCAGTATACAGTACTAGTGTACCGCTCTCGATAGTGATACTGTGTGTAGTTTCAACCTAAGTTTTAGCCCTAATACTTGTCCCTAACCTAATACTTACAATAAGTATTGCAACTGTGATTTTTTTCAACAAATAGTGTTAATCTCGCAATTTTAGCCAACATTTCACATCATTTCAGCTAAAACGAACGCCTTGGAATTGCATTATCCGAACTTGTTCAGTCAACTGTCTAACGTGGTAGACGACCGGTAGGTGGAGTCAACAATGTGGGCATTTAGGCTGTGCTGTTTCCCCTGATGCGAATGAAATACACAACTATCTCATCTAGTGGAGGTTATCCGTTCAACAGAGGTGGCTCGACCACTCTTGACACCTACTCCCAACGTTGGATAATTTACTTTCGTTAGGTTTGGACGAAGTGACATCGGTGCTGCAAATCCAGAGTGAGGCAAAACGTCGTGTTCTATTCTTCTTTGTGTCTACCTTTGTATAAAACCATGTCACCGATTCGTGAAGATTTGCTCGGGGACCACAAAAAATGTTCTCTCTTGAGGGTCCTTATTCATGATGGGCCATTTTTGGTCGAATGCTCAGCATAACTTCATCCGGTGTGCGGTGGAAGTATATCAGGAAGGTCAGATTCCTGAATGTAACCTCAGAACGCCCGACACCTACTGCTCCACCAAAATTTCAACAAAGAAGTCGGCAAGCATCCAGACCGGTCAATCATTCAATCGATTCATCAAAAGCCACGCCACAGAAGCATGACCGAATGTGATCAGCGTTCAGGCATTCCATAGAGGCACGATCGATGTTGACGAGTGTTCAATAAAGCCTATCAGACAGCCTGGATCAATGTCAGAAAGTCCCCTTTAAATAGCGTGGGACCGTTGTAACTCTTGCTCTTGCACTCGCTTGTTCGGAATATAGCTGTTGTGTTCCCTTCTGTGAGTCTTTTTTCCGGCAACTAGGCACTGGCGCGGGTCAGCAGCAGATAACACAGATTTGCGAATCAGCAGATATAACAAAGTACTTCCACAACAACAGACATAAAAACGTGAAAAAGGATACCGCAAGATTTTCACCCATGTGCATCGTTCTTGCGAGTGCGATAAGCGAGGGACTGAAACTGTAAAATAAATTGTGGAAAGAAACAATGACCTGTGGTTTTCAATTTTCATTAGAAAATTCATCAGTAATTCAACAGCTCAAGGAGTAATATATGCCTGTCAATCGTTTATTCAACAGTGATGGGTTAATCTCATCCGAGTGACCAAAGACCGTCCGTTTTTATAGCCTTCGAAAAGAAGCATTACAGAGTGAGGTACAACAGATTCTCTTAGTATTTTTTGTTTACACTTTACTGTAAGTTAAATAACTACTTAGACGTATCAGTGTGTATTAAACACGCTTTGCGCAAGCCTATGCCTGATCAAGGTAGCTTAAACTCCGTTGTATTCCGTAACGAGCTCTATTCTTCATAGATAACATTTGAACGATGTGTATATTGACCAATTCCAT